ATCCTCATCTTTATGGAGACACAAATCACAACGTGAGTCCATTGCCATATTTCGATGATGATTACAGGGCTCGAACATAAGGACATTTGCCCTAAGCTCAAAAATGTGTTTTTAGCTGTATTTTAGAGCCAGTGAAGAAATCTTTGTTTTTCATGATATGTGATATTTTGTGGAAAAAAGGTTTAAATTTTTACAGGTTTTTAATTTAAAAAAAAGCTAGTAATTATATAACTGTAATGTAACTCATATACAAAATCTTTCTCCCTGATTTATAAAACATAAAATCATGGCAGTATTAGAGATGCTCTCTCTCCTTCTAGGTTGATAGTCAGTAAGAAAGAGCGAATGCTGGTCAAGGGTTCTGGTTTCCATCTGGATCTGTTGCTCATCGTGACTCTCGGTGGCACTAGCGCACTGTTCGGTTTGCCGTGGATGGCCGCGGCCACTGTTCGCTCTGTAACCCATGCTAACGCCCTCACCGTAATGAGCAAAGCCGTCGCTCCAGGAGACAAACCTCGAATCCAGGAGGTCAAGGAGCAGAGGGTGACCGGGTTACTGGTGGCAATACTTGTAGGTGGGTTTCAAACAATTACTGTTTATGCACTTAAATGCATCCTGATCAATACAAACTGCTGATAATAAAACAAAACAAAAAATCAATAATTTCATTATTATTACAATATTGAAGGATAATTGTCGGAAAAAGCGTCAAAGATACAAATTTGGAATCAGATACTATTTTTGGAATGAGCAACCCAAAAATACGAAGGAATTTAAAAATAAAAAAAGTATTGGATTTCATCCAGCAAATCAGATGCATGGCAGTTTCATTATTTATTGGATATTTAGTGTTTTGGAAAGACAAGCAGTCAAAGGCCAACCATTACAGTCATTTTTAACAGTTTAAGTGGATAAAAACACCCTTTACTCTTAGTAAAATCCCTACATAAAATCTTGTGGCTTATTGCTTTAAGATTCATAGTATTTTATTACACGCACATTAAATCAGTGAAAAATGACTATTGTATGCATTGCTAGATGTATTAAATGAAGAAAAAGTCTATGAAATTGCAAATTGTGTTGGCTGTAGGTCTCTCAATAGTAATCGGTGATCTGCTCCGTCAAATCCCCATCGCTGTGCTGTTTGGCATCTTCCTGTACATGGGTGTGATGTCACTGAATGGAATCCAGCTGACAGAACGGATCCTGCTGCTGCTGATGCCCCCTAAATACCACCCCGATCACACCTACGTGCGCAAGGTCAGGAGCCCAGTCTGTTTTCTGTTCATTAATAAAGAGGATTTTGGTTCAAAGGTACTGTGGCAGTAACATGCTGCAGTAAAGGTATCAGATACTTCACAGAAATCAACAATATGGAAGGTAGA